TGTCCGTTCGGTCTATTGTCCGTTCGGCCAAATGTCCGTCGGCTCGATGTCCATTCGGTCAAATGTCCGTCGGTGAAACGTCTGTCGGCCAAATGTCCTTCGGCCATCTGTCCGGCCACGGTTATATCAATGTCATGCTAGTTTTATGTTAGTGTGATGCTAGTGTTATATTAGTGTTATATCATTGTCATGTTAGTGTTATGTTAGTGCTACATCAGTGCCATGCTAGTGTTATGTTAGTGTGATGCTAGTGTTATATTAGTGTTATATCATTGTCATGTTAGTGTTATGTTAGTGCTACATCAGTGCCATGCTAGTGTTATGTTAGTGTCAAGCTCGTGTCATACCAGATGAAGAATCTTTTCAACAAAAGTCGACTCCAGGCAGGAACAAAGGTGTCTGTAGCTTCAATAACTGAACTTCACTTTGCGGACGACCTCACCCTTGTCGTTCACACTGAACGCGACCTACAGGAGATCCTGAACACCAACACAGATGCGTTTCCACACTTCGGCCTAAAGGTGAATGTACGTAAGATTCAAATTCTTTTTCAGCCTGCCCCTGGTTCAGCCACACCTCCACTATCCATCAGCTTAACGGTACTACCATTTCTAATGTTACCCACTTCCGGTATCTCAGCTCCCACCTGTCCACTACTGCGGACATCGATGAAGGCATTCAACATCGGATCAGATGTGCATCTCAAGCCTTTGGCAGACTCAATACCCGTTTCTTCAGCTGTAGGGAGCTGAAATTATCTACAAAGTTGCACCTATATGGAGTAGTGGTCCTCCCAACCCTGCTATATGGCAGCGAGACATGGGTCACATACAGGAGGCACCTCAAGGCACTTGAAAACTTTTATCAACGTAGTCTATGTTTCATCCTACGAGTTCGCTGGGAAGAAAAGAAAACAAATGCCAGTATTCTTGCTGACACCAACTGTAGGATCATCGAGGCTACCATTTTCCATGAACAAATACTTTGGACTGGCCATGTTACCCACATGGACGACAGTAGACTGCCAAAGCAGCCACTTTACAGTCACCTAACAAATAGTAAACGTAATGTTGACGGGCAAGTGAAAAGGTATAAGGATAGTCTTAAGACAAACCTGAAAAGGTGCCAAATCAACCCCCTCACCTGGGAGTCGATTGTTCCACACCGTAACGCTTGGAGGAGCACCACACTTAAGAGTTAGCCCGACTGCAAACCGAGACAGACAAGCGCCAACGCCGGAAAGGCTCTGCCGCCGCCCCTCCCGCGCGAGATGTAGCCCCCCACAAGTGCAACATCTGTGAACAACTCTGCCGGTCCCGTATCGGCTTCTCTAGTCACCTCAGAATTCACCGACTTAGGTGAAATCCTTAATAATTCATGTCATTGTATCATAGCTGGATGATCGTCATACTTGATTTCGAGCGACAGCAAAGTAGTAGTAGTATGTTAGTGTTATATCAGTGTATTGTTAGTGTTATATCACTTATATGTTAGTGTTATATCAGTGTCATGCTAGTGTTATGTTAGTGTTATATCAGTGATATGTTAGTGTTATATCGGTGTCATGCTAGTGTTATATTAGTGTCATGCTAGTATTATGTTAGTGTTATATCAGTGTCATGCTAGTGATATGTTAGCGTTATATATGGCTGCACTGCAACCATAATATTAAGTTCTGACCGGAACAGGAACTTAGGGTTTTATAGCTCTTAAAATTTTGTTCATGTTGTTTTAAGTACATGACATTCAGGACTCCTAGTACCGTATGATATTATTGGTCTATGTAAAAAAAAATAAAGTAATTTGTCATACTAAAACTTCGAATATGAAGGTTTAGGTTTGGTTAGGTTAGGTCAGGTTAGGGCTACAGTGTTGCTCAAAGATGAATCACACACGCTTGCTAAATAATAATATGTAACCTTGTATTAATGGTCACTTCACTGTATGTAGTATTTCATAAATTATGTTAAGTTAAACATTTTAGTTCTCCTTATTTATAAATACAGAACAGACGGTTTGTAAAAATCTTTAACATGTGACTCTTTGTTAACATGTGACTCTCTTTGTTTACATGTGACTCTGTTAACATGTGACTGTTAACATGTGACTCTTTGTTAACATGTGACTCTTTGTTAACATGTGACTCTTCGTTAACATGTGACTCCTTGTTAACATGTGACTGTTAACACGTGACTCTTTGCGACCATGCGACTCTTTGCTAACATGTGACTCTTTGCTAACATGTGACTCTTTATTACCATGTTACTCTTTGTTAACATGTGACTCTCTTTGTTAACATGTGACTCTCTTTGTTAACATGTGACTCTGTTAACATGACTCATTGTTAACATGACTCTGTTAACATGTTAACATGCGACTCTCTTTATTAACATATGACTCTCTTAACATGTGACTGTCTTTGTTAACATGTACCACTTTTTAACACGTTACTATTTGTTAACATGTGACTCATTGATAACATGTGACTCTGTTAACATGTGACTCATTGATAACATGTGACTCTGTTAACATGAGACTCTCTTTGTTAATATGTGACTCTCTTTGTTAACATGTGACTTTCTTTGTTAACATGTTACTCTTTGTTAACATGTTACTCTTTGTTAACATGTGACTGTTAACATGTGACTCTCTTTGTTAACATGTGACTTTCTTTGTTAACATGTAGCTCTTTTTAACATGTGACTCTCTGTTAACATGTGACTGTTAACATGTGACTTTCTGTTAACGTGACTCTCTCAGTTAGCCCGTGACTGTTAACATGGGAGACTGTTAACATGAGACTCTCTGTTAACATGGGACTCTTTGTAGGCTTGTTGACATTTAATGTTGATAACTAATAATTATGAAGTCGCATTTTCTTGAAATGACAGTGTTGTTATTGACATTTGTTTCCCTTACTAACTTACTAGCTCGTGTTTGTTTACATCCGGGAGTCGCTTTGTACCTGCCTCTTTTAACAAACCACTTAACTGTACACCCTTCCCGGTCCCGCTCTTATTCTCTAGCTGCATCTAATTCTTGCCATCGTTAGTGCCCGAGTCCTTACTGGAAATTTGGAAACAAATCTAAGTCGCTCACTCAAGATCGTGACAAAGTTGGCATCACACCGGTGCCAAAAATGCTGTCTGGCTCAGATACGAAGAAACTTACTAAACGATTTTTTTAGCCTTCGAATCTCAGCTTGTATACTCTACATCATCTAAACAAATTTTTCGAATGGTCTGAAAAATGGCAGATGAGATTCAATGTGGACAAATGTAAAGTACTCAGGAGATGTAAACAGGGAAACCAGATACCAGATGAACAACGATGTTATTGAGAAATCCGACTGCGAGAAAGATTTAGGATTAATGATAAGTAGGAATCTTAAGCCAAGTAAACAATGTGTATTTGCTCGAAACAAGGCTAATAAAGTACTTGGGTTCATACAAAGGAGTGTTAGTTACATGACTTGCGAGGTCATCTTAAAACTATATCTTGCGCTTGTGAGACCCCACTTGGACTACGCAGTTCAATTCTGGTCACCGTATTACAGAATGGATATAGAATCCTTGGAAAGAATTCAGAGGAAAATGACAAGACTAATCCCGGGCATTAGGAACCTTGAGTACAGAGACAGGTTAAAGCTTCTTAATTTGCATTCCTTCGAGAGACGTAGAGTCAGGGGCGATATGATCGAGGTGTATAAATGGAAGTCAGGACTGAACAAAAGGGACATTACAAAGGTACTCAAACTATCTAACCAGGAGCGAACTCGTAACAATGGTTTTAAATTAGACAAATTTAGATTTAGGTAGGAAATAGGTAAACATTGGTTTGGAAATTGAGTAGTGGATGAGTGGAACAAGTTACCAAATATCATCATTAACTCGAATACGCTGGATAGCTTCAAACATAGGTTGAATGGATATATGAGCAATAGGGGTTGGGTGTAAATGGGACTGCCCAGTATGGGCCAATAGGCCCGTTGCAGTTTCCTCCATTCTTTTGTTCTTATGTTTAAGCAACTCCTTTACTTAGTTCCAGTGAATTAACTGTGCTGCACACCCTTAGTTTACGATAATCGTAGGTTATAGTAAACTATGGATTATTCATCTATGCTAATGGTAACTTTGCTTATATTTTTCAGAATATTTGTTTGATTATTCTTCTCACTCCAAATAAATTTTATTTACGATATATTGGAAAATGAATCAGTCTTCATTCTTCAGCAACCCTGATTTATGTTTATAAACTGGTGTTGTCACTGAATGGTAGTGGAGTTGGGGGGGGGGGGTCCAGTCACGTCAATGGTGATAGCAAGAGAGGGATTGAGGGAGGGAAGGACCAGCCAAGGAAAGCCTCTCAGTATTATTATTTGAACTCGACGCAGCGTGTACAAAGCACTGGGGGAAAGAGACTTATTTTGAACTATTCCGGGCTACAATGATAAATAATACAGTTTGGAGTGTGCTTTCCAGAAGTGTTCGCTCAGAAAGGTCATGCATGTATCAATCTCAGTCGTAGATGAAATGTTTTCGTTATGTTCGGGGTACAATGTTTTGAACTAAGTAATTATAACTTTTTGGGATTCCAAATGCAGTTGTTTTATTTATTACAGTGATCTCAAAGATGAACACCAAAGAGTGAGAACGTAACATTTAGAATTAGTACGAGTGAGTATTGCGGCAATCTGGAACATTCACACTTCCGTCCTGTGGCTGGTGGCCGAGGCCGTGACGTCACGATAACCAAGGCAATAATAAAGAAACAAACAGCGGGGGCCGCGGGGGGGTGTCGCTTGTATTATGACAGTATATTCTCTCTCACTTCTTCCAGGTTATTATCATATTCTAATTCAGTGTGTGGTGAGAGTGTTGGTGTTAGTGTAGAGGTGTACAGGTGGAGTGCGGGAGGTATGTTGCAGGTAATATGAGTGCGTGTTGGTGTACCACAAACGAAGTAATTGGGGAGTAAGGCGGTAGTAGAAGCGTTACTGTTGTGGGGTGTGGACACGGGCCAGCGCTCTCTGCCCTCAACATCGGTAAAACTCCTTTATAATACCTCATTTATGGAGGTGTAGCTCTGCCTCTATGGCTTAAGTTAATGTGTTTTACCCCGAAGTGACCACAATAGGTGTTGCTGCGCCTGATCACTTATTTAGTAGGTATGATTGGCGAATTGTGCTAATGACTCATACAAGAATCTCACCAGCGATTTTTATATAAATATTTGAAAAACGAATTTATTCGATGTTGATGTGGGATAAAACTATCAACGGCAGTTGACGGCAACAACACGAGTGCCCAGGATACTACAAGACTGTATTGCCAGGAGGACGCAGACGCCGCCTCCGAGGTGAAAGTTCTGAGGTGCTCTTGTAATGTATTTTTGATAAATTGGTTGAAAGGTGTTACGTGGAAACAATTATTATTCTATCAATACATTTTAATATATTTTGTGCTGTGAGTTCTTATAAACACATGTACTGTATATGCAACTACAATCGTGCACATCACAAGAGCGCACACAAAATACACACGAACACACAAGCACGTATTGCACACACATACACACAAAATCACCTACGAATACACAAACGCACATAATAACATTTACAAACACAAATACAAATGCAGAAGTTTAAAGTTTGAACAGAAACAATTCATACTGTTAGCTAAAAGATTGTTCTTCTGACCTACCTTCATCTCCACAAATCTTGCAGCCTCTCACTAGAATACTCACTGTAAAAACTCCTTGGGTCAAGTGTATAAACAATACTACCCATGATCCAGTACAACCAGGCCTGCCCCCGCTGTCTCCGTCGCAATGTCTCCATTACTATTTTATAAATGAGGAATGTCTCCTTTGTTCTACACCTGAGGTACTGCAAGCTTCCAACCTAGATAGTATTAATTTTAAGGAATTGTGTCGTAGAATTTGTTTTAGCCCTTCCTAAGATTTCCAGTTTGTCTTTGTTTGTGGTTAGAATCCCCTAAATTTGGCAACCTGTCGATCAGTTTCTAGAAATTGCAGAATATAGGATATTTTTTAATTTCAAAAGCATATACAGTATTTTGCTTTTTCTTGAAACTGAAGTGTAGGCTCGTATCTTCTTCTGTAACGATAATCTCGAACACATTAATATTATATAGCAGTCATGTCGTCAAAAGCTTCGGAAACCAGTACAAAAATACTATAGTCCAGGGCCCATCAAGGCACCCAAAAACTTTCGTCCGGATGATGTAAAGGCCCCGCAAGTCATTTTTTTTTCATTCTGTAACCATCATACTCCCGGGCTCGCTAACGACTCGAGGATGACCTTCTTGTGTCTTTGCTGGTTTCACTTTATATAAAGCTACGAAACTTTCCAGTAGAAACTGTCCTCTTTGAAATCCTGGCACATCCATGTGTTTACCAGTGACTCCTCCTTGTAGGTCCACCGCATCCTGACAATATTGTGTTCAGTTGTTTAGTTCTTTTTTCCCTCTTTTAACCAAAACAGTGATGGTCGTTTGTACATGATGAAGGGGAAACTTGGCAGATGTGCTGAGACACACCACATTTGGACCCCATGTCAGATATACTTTATCTGTCATGTGAGAACTATATGTTTACGGTAACCTTCGACTGTAATTTATTCCCTTGGTTACACGGGGGTAAAGCACGGACACCCACAGCTGTACCTCTAGAAAGAGCACCTTGTTCCACCCTGGAGGAACCTCGCTAGAATGTCTTTGCAAAAGTTCTGTCATTGTCATGTCTGTACCGGCGTGTAGATCATGGCAGCAGGGTCGATAAAAATGTAATATTAATGGAAGTCCAGCATGTGGAGCTACAGTTTTTGTGTCGTTACGGCATGATACTCCCGTGATATTTAACAACTCAACAAGTAGAATGATTTTAAACTACGAGGTATAGGTCGACAGTAATGTTAGTGCTCAGTGCGTGGCAAAACTAGTGACGCAGATGGAGGAAACTGCAGCGGGCCTATTAGCCTCTACTGGGCAGACCCATTTACACCCAAACCCTGTGTTTGAAGCTATCCAGCGTATTCGAGTTAATGATGATGTTTGGTAACTTGTTCCACTCATCCACTACTCCATATCCAAACCAGTGTTTACCTATCTCGCACCTAAATCTAAATTTGTCTAATTTAAAACCATTGTTACGAGTTCGCTCCTGGTTGGATAGTTTGAGTACCTTTGTTATATCACCTTTGTTTAGCCCTGACTTCCATTTATACACCTCGATCATATCGCCCCACGCTCTACGTCTCTCGAAGGAGTGAAGATTAAGATGCTTTAACCTGTCTATGTACTCAAGGTTCCTAATGCCCAGGATTAGTCTCGTCATTCTCCTCCGAATTCTTTCTAGGGATTCTATATCCATTTTGGAGGAAGTTGACCAGAACTGAACTACGTAAACCAAGTGAGGTTTCACAAGCGCAAGATATAATTTTAAGATGACCTTGCTAGTCTTGTAACTAACACTCCTTTATATGAACCCATGTACTTTGTTAGCCTTGTTTCGAGCATCATTGTTCGTCTGGTATTTGGTATCTGGTTTCTCTGTTTACATCTCCTAGACCCAGTGGTTCCCAAACTGGGGGGGCCATGGCCCCCCCAGCAAAATTTAGGGGGCCACAAGCTGAGGCTATGTACACATAAAAATCCCAAGCCCCACCACACTAGAACAGCCAGTCAGCAGCTGAGCCAGCCAGAGATATGGATTGGGAGAGGGGGGGGCCATGGATAAGGATCATATATGAAAAGTAGGTAATGATCAGAAAAAGTTTGGGAACCACTGTGACCTAGACTAAGTACTTTACATTTGTCCACATTAAATTTCATCCGCCATTTTTCAGACCATTCGAAAATTTTTTAGTTTTGCGGAGTCCACGTCAAATTTAATTACACGCGCCCTATTTTAGTGTCATCAGCAAATTTACTTATGTTGCTGTCTACGCCTATATCTATGTCGTTTATGTATATAATAAATAATAATGGTCCAAGTAATGAGCCTTGGGGTACTCCACTAGTGACGCTACTCCGATCGGATTCAGTGAAGTTAATGCTCACTCGCTATTTCCTGTCCTGTAACCACGCCCTAATCCATTTTAGAATATCTCCTTCAATGCCATGAGCCTCCACTTTTCGTATTAGTCTTTAGTGGGGGACTGTCGAAGGCTTTGCTAAAGTCGAGATATACATCATAATCGTGCCCGTCGTCCACCGATTCGAAAACAGCTGAAAAGAATGTTAATAGATTAGTTAGACAGGAACACCCGCTTGTGAAGCCATGTTGGGAATCATTGATCAACTTGTGCTTCTTCAGGTGATTTCGAAGAGTTTGAAATTATTGCTTCCAGTAATTTGCCTACAATTGATTTTAATCTCTCTCTCTTAAGACAAACCTGAAAAAGTGCCGAAATCGACCCCCTCACCTGGGAGTCGATTACTCCACACCGTAACGCTTGGAGGAGCACCACACGAGAAGGTGTCAATACTTTCGAGTTAGCTCGACTTCAAACAGAGGCAGACAAGCGCCAACGCCAGAAAGACGCTGCCACCGCCCTTCCCGCACTCGATGCAGCCCTCCACATTTGCAACGAATGTGAACGACGCTGCGGGTTCCGTATCGGCCTCTTTAGTCACCTCAAACCTCACCAACCTAGGTGACATCCCAAATAACTCATATAATTGTATCATAGCTGGATGATCGTCATACTCGATTCCGAGTGACAGCAAACTAGTACTGTGGTAGTGTGTGTGTGTGTGTAATACGAGGCCTGATAAGCGTAGCATAGTTCACATTCAATAAACACAATGTTAGTTAAAGCAACATGGTCCAACATTACGCCTCAGACACCCAGCTTTAAATGCTTACACTTCCTCCTCCTCCTCCAATGTTTCTGTCTATTTATATGTTTCTCTCGCCTTCGTTTTCCTTTTACAATGTGATGAGATCCTTTTTGACATAATGCGTCCCTCACCTTTGTTTTGGAGGTGGGGAGTAGGAGGGAGGGGAGTAGCGGGAGGTAGAGGAGGAGGAAGGAGATTAGTAAGAGGCGAGGGAAGAGTAGGAGGAGGAAGGAGAGGCAGAGGCGGGGAAGGAGAGATGAGGGGGGGGGGGTAAGAGATGATCTTAGATTGAATTCCAAGAGGTGAGAAAATGCCAACTTTTTATATTTAATGTAACTTAAAAGCAGCAAAGGAAGAAATTACACGAGAGTAATACCATATAAAGAAATCTAGCTGACGCCACCTGTGTCTAAGTAATTTACAGGCAAGAATTATTAAGATAAGAATGTTAGGAGGCGCCTATACGCCCTGCACTAACTAGAGGAGCTACTGCCTGTCCTACATATAGGAGAGACGTGTGCCAGGAGGGAGAGTTGCAGTGTTATGAGACACTGAGGGTGATCACATATGTGGCATGTCAACAGTGAGTAGCAGAGCGGAGTGCGCCGCGTCTGGGTTGACACAGGAGTGGGGTAATGGCTTCATTATCATCAGAGAGGTGAAGATAGTGAGATGAGATGGAGGACGCTGGGCGACGGACATGAAGCCGAGGGAAGCGGGATGTGTGTGTAGCATCATTGGGGAGGAGCTGTTGTTGTGTGAGTGTACTCAGGTGCTTCAACAACTGAGGTCTTCAAGTACACTCACAAAATCAGTTTTTATACTCTAAAACGGAGGCGTGTGGCTGTATACGAGACGTGGTTATGAGCGCCGGAGTATATCACGTGGGGGAGGGTACGCGGGCACAGTTTTTAATGTGGATAACAGGTGCAGCTGTTGGTGGATCACACAGTGCAACAGTATGTGGATCCACCAACAGCTGCCCCGTGTGATCCACCAACTGTTGCACGAGGACTATGACAGAAGTAAGAAGGACAGACGTTGAGCAAGAAAGAAAAGATTCACCACACTTGTTATAAACAGACTGACAGTTATCTAGTCTCAGATATTTTTTATTCATTTGAAGAGATGACCTTGGGCGGTTGTAGAGGACATTATTAATTATAGATTATTGTAGATGACTGTAGATGACTTGTGATAACTGTAATGACTTGTAATGACTGTAGATGACTTGTGATAACTGTAATGACTTGTAATGACTGTAGATGACTTGTGATAACTGTAATGACTTGTAATGACTGTAGATGACTTGTGATAACTGTAATGACATGTGATGACTGTAGATGACTTGTGATAACTGTAATGACTTGTGATGACTGTAGATGACTTGTGATAACTGTAATGACTTGTGATGACTGTAGATGACTTGTGATAACTGTAATGACTTGTGATGACTGTAGATGACTTTTATATAACTTAGACGACTGTAAATAACTGATGATGATTGT